CACACAGTCTGATCTCCGTGTAAGCGCGCACATTATACACACAGTCTGATCTCCGTGTAAGCGCACACATTATACACACAGTCTGATCTCCGTGTAAGCGCACACATTATACACAGTCTGATCTCCGTGTAAGCGCACACATTATACACAGTCTGATCTCCGTGTAAGCGCACACATTATACACACAGTCTGATCTCCGTGTAAGCGCACACATTATACACACAGTCTGATCTCCGTGTAAGCGCACACATTATACAGTCTGATCTCAGTGTAAGCGCACACATTATACAGTCTGATCTCAGTGTAAGCGCACACATTATACAGTCTGATCTCAGTGTAAGCGCACACATTATACAGTCTGATCTCCGTGTAAGCGCACACATTATACACACAGTCTGATCTCAGTGTAAGCGCACACATTATACACACAGTCTGATCTCCGTGTAAGCGCACACATTATACAGTCTGATCTCAGTGTAAGCGCACACATTATACAGTCTGATCTCAGTGTAAGCGCACACATTATACAGTCTGATTTCAGTGTAAGCGCACACATTATACACACAGTCTGATCTCAGTGTAAGCGCACACATTATACAGTCTGATCTCCGTGTAAGCGCACACATTATACAGTCTGATCTCCGTGTAAGCGCACACATTATACACACAGTCTGATCTCAGTGTAAGCGCGCACATTATACACACAGTCTGATCTCCGTGTAAGCGCGCACATTATACACACAGTCTGATCTCCGTGTAAGCGCGCACATTATACACACAGTCTGATCTCCGTGTAAGCGCACACATTATACACACAGTCTGATCTCCGTGTAAGCGCACACATTATACACACAGTCTGATCTCCGTGTAAGCGCACACATTATACACACAGTCTGATCTCCGTGTAAGCGCACACATTATACACACAGTCTGATCTCCGTGTAAGCGCACACATTATACACACAGTCTGATCTCCGTGTAAGCGCACACATTATACACACAGTCTGATCTCCGTGTAAGCGCACACATTATACACAGTCTGATCTCCGTGTAAGCGCACACATTATACACAGTCTGATCTCCGTGTAAGCGCACACATTATACACACAGTCTGATCTCCGTGTAAGCGCACACATTATACACACAGTCTGATCTCCGTGTAAGCGCACACATTATACAGTCTGATCTCAGTGTAAGCGCACACATTATACAGTCTGATCTCAGTGTAAGCGCACACATTATACAGTCTGATCTCAGTGTAAGCGCACACATTATACAGTCTGATCTCCGTGTAAGCGCACACATTATACACACAGTCTGATCTCAGTGTAAGCGCACACATTATACACACAGTCTGATCTCCGTGTAAGCGCACACATTATACAGTCTGATCTCAGTGTAAGCGCACACATTATACAGTCTGATCTCAGTGTAAGCGCACACATTATACAGTCTGATTTCAGTGTAAGCGCACACATTATACACACAGTCTGATCTCAGTGTAAGCGCACACATTATACAGTCTGATCTCAGTGTAAGCGCACACATTATACACACAGTCTGATCTCAGTGTAAGCGCACACATTATACAGACTGATCTCAGTGTAAGCGCACACATTATACAGTCTGATCTCAGTGTAAGAGCACACATTATACAGACTGATCTCAGTGTAAGCGCACACATTATACACACAGTCTGATCTCAGTGTAAGAGCACACATTATACACACAGTCTGATCTCAGTGTAAGCGCACACATTATACACACAGTCTGATCTCAGTGTAAGAGCACACATTATACAGACTGATCTCAGTGTAAGCGCACACATTATACACACAGTCTGATCTCAGTGTAAGCGCACACATTATACAGACTGATCTCAGTGTAAGCGCACACATTATACAGTCTGATCTCAGTGTAACCTCAGACATTATACACACAGTTTGATCTCAGTTTAAGCTCACACAGCCCACCCACTCACCTTGGGCGAAACGTAAAAATATACTTTTTTCGGTTTCTTCATTTTTTCAAAGGAGAGTCCAATAGGGGAAACTTCACATTCATCATTGACTGGAGAAGAGGATTGCTGCCCAGGTACATTAGGGGGACTCGGTGGGTATAAATAACCTTCAAAGAAAACTCCAACCCCTGACCGTGACACATTGTTATCTACAGCAGCTTTCTCACTTTCTAAAAGAAATTAATGTTTCCAGTAAGAAAATAATACAGGCAGTCTCTAGGCAGAGAGTAACAAGGAGAGCAAAAAAACATGATACAGGCAGTCTCTAGGCAGAGAACAACAAGGAGAGCAGAACTCATGGTACAAGCAGTCTATAGACAGTAATAAGGAGAGCAGAACACATGGTACAAGCAGTCTATAGACAGAGTAATAAGGAGAGCAGAACACATGGTACAAGCAGTCTATAGACAGTAATAAGGAGAGCAGAACACATGGTACAAGCAGTCTATAGACAGTAATAAGGAGAGCAGAACACATGGTACAAGCAGTCTATAGACAGAGTAATAAGGAGAGCAGAACACATGGTACAAGCAGTCTATAGACAGAGTAATAAGGAGAGCAGAACACATGGTACAAGCAGTCTATAGACAGAGTAATAAGGAGAGCAGAACACATGACACAAGCAGTCTATAGACAGAGTAACAAGGAGAGCAGAACACATGACACAAGCAGTCTATAGACAGAGTAACAAGGAGAGCAGAACACATGACACAAGCAGTCTCTAGGCAGAGTAATAAGGAGAGCAGAACACATGGTAAAAGCAGTCTATAGACAGTAATAAGGAGAGCAGAACACATGGTACAAGCAGTCTATAGACAGAGTAATAAGGAGAGCAGAACACATGGTACAAGCAGTCTATAGACAGAGTAATAAGGAGAGCAGAACACATGGTACAAGCAGTCTATAGACAGTAATAAGGAGAGCAGAACACATGGTACAAGCAGTCTATAGACAGAGTAATAAGGAGAGCAGAACACATGGTACAAGCAGCCTATAGACAGTAATAAGGAGAGCAGAACACATGGTACAAGCAGTCTATAGACAGAGTAATAAGGAGAGCAGAACACATGGTACAAGCAGTCTCTAGGCAGAGTAACAAGGAGAGCAGAACACATGACACAAGCAGTCTCTAGACAGAGTAATAAGGAGAGCAGAACACATCGTACAAGCAGTCTATAGACAGTAATAAGGAGAGCAGAACACATGGTACAAGCAGTCTCTAGGCAGAGTAATAAGGAGAGCAGAACACATGGTACAAGCAGTCTATAGACAGAGTAATAAGGAGAGCAGAACACATAGTACAAGCAGTCTATAGACAAAGAGTAACAAGGAAAGTGGAACACATGGTACAGGTAGTCTCCAGACAGGGAGTAATGAGAGGCACAGCACACATGGTACAGGAGTCTCTAGAAATGGTGTAACGAGAGAAGTACAGCACACATAGTACAGAGGTCTCGAGACAGGGATTAATGAGAAGCACACATAGTACAGGGGTCTCTAGACACTGAGTAATGAGAGCCGCAGCACACATGGTACAGAGGTCTCTAGACACTGAGTAATGAGAGAAGTGCAGCACATATAGTACAGGGGTCTCTGGACACTGAGTAATGAGAGAAGCACAGCACATATAGTACAGGGGTCTCTAGACACTGAGTAATGAGAGAAGCACAGCACATATAGTACAGGGGTCTCTAGACACAGAGTTATGAGAGCTGCAGCACACATGGTACAGGGGTCTCTAGACAGAGTAATGAGAGTCACAGCACACATGGTACAGGGGTCTCTAGACACAGAGTAGGGAGAGCCGCAGCACATATGGTACAGGGGTCTCTAGACACTGTGTCTAGAGACTCCTGTAGTATATGTGCTGTGCTTCTCTCATTACTCAGAGTTATGAGAGCTGCAGCACACATGGTACAGGGGTCTCTAGACAGAGTAATGAGAGTCACAGCACACATGGTACAGGGATCTCTAGAAAGGGAGTAATGAAATAAACACAGCACACATGGTACAGGGGTCTCTAGACAGAGTAATGAGAGTCACAGCACACATGGTACAGGGGTCTCTAGACACAGAGTAGGGAGAGCCGCAGCACATATGGTACAGGGGTCTCTAGACACTGTGTCTAGAGACTCCTGTAGTATATGTGCTGTGCTTCTCTCATTACTCAGAGTTATGAGAGCTGCAGCACACATGGTACAGGGGTCTCTAGAAAGGGAGTAATGGAATAAACAGCACACATGGTACAGGGGTCTCTAGACACAGTTATGAGAGCTGCAGTACACAAAGTACAGGGGTCTCTAGACAGAGTTATGAGAGTCACAGCACACATGGTACAGGGGTCTCTAGACAGAGAGTAATGAGAGTCACAGCACAAATGGTACAGGGGTCTCTAGACACAGAGTTATGAGAGCTGCAGCACACATGGTACAGGGGTCTCTAGACGGAGAGTAATGAGAGTCACAGCACACATGGTACAGGGATCTCTAGAAAGGGAGTAATGAAATAAACACAGCACATATGGTACAGGGGTCTCTAGACAGAGAGTAATAAGAGGCACAGCACACACGGTACAGTGGTCTGTAGAACAGTGGAGATAGCATACCACTGAGCACAATGATATTAAAGTTTCCATTGCTTATTGGCTGTCCTAGGTAACGTAACGTAGCCTGAAAGCACCCAGTCTGGAGAAGGATGAGGTGTAAAAGGACACGATTCTGACTTCCATTACAGACGGTAAATTGACAGCATCCATCAGCCATGCCCACCACGCCAAGCTAAGGGAGGAAATGGAAAGCCCTTTTACAATTTCATATGAGAAACACTATGCTATATTGTAACAGGAACATTGTAAAATATATAAATAGGACAGAAATAGAAAGAAAAAAACCCTGTAAATTTACATTATATTTTTTGGTAAACCTGAGCTAACATTTATACATAAAATTGCTGCATTCTTCATGTGCACCTAAAATTAACGTTAAAGGCTTTAAAGAGAAGGTATTTTTTTTTTTTTTTAAATCAACACCATGACAAGGGTCCATGGAAAAAGATAGGGGAAGCTCTCAGGGCCAGAGAAAGAAGAGAGACTCACTTCGCTCAGGCTCAGGGTGTAGTTCTCATGATCTTGTAAATTGTCACCGGTGGGATTGCTGTACTGGTCACATGGTGCAATCTGTAACGTGTGCTGCTGTCCGCATGTCAGGACTAGTGTGGAGAAGTGAGACACAATCTGGGTCTTTGCTGGTACTACCACACCTGTCAAAGAGAGGACAGTGATACATGCCTTTCATGAAAACCACTATACTAATCAACCATATAAAACCATCCTTTCTGTTCTCAATGAACTCATCTGTACCTGATGCTTACCTGGGTGGAACAATTTGCAGTAAGGGCTATGTCCCACATTGAGTCGGCCAATGCTGATGCTGATCTGGTATCTTCCAGATTTCCTGACTGTGAAAGCTCCTTTCACCACATTCCTAGCTGGGTCTGGAAGAACTTCCAGAGTTACTGGAACCTCTAGAGCAAGCTCTGTGTGTGTCATCCGAACCCGGAGAGACACAGTACTACTGAGAGGGTATGGGTGACCGTTCCTGTAAAATAACTAGACAGAGGGACACGTGGGAAGTGAGACCAAACAGAGAGATAAAGAAAAATATATACAGTGGGGTGGCAGAGAAAGGAGAGCAAGTAGAACCTGGATGTGATGGAGGGGGTAATACAGTCTTAGGAAACAGTGAAATGGTTGCAGGAGTGATAAGATGCGAGGCAGAAATTATGAAATACTTACATGTACACGAAAGCTCATAGAGTGTCCCACTTCACACGGTTCGTTCCAATCCCAGGACACATAGCAGGAGCGGGGCTCCAGGTATTTTCCACGAACATAGTTATAGATAGTACGTTCTGTCCCACGCTCACGCCCCTCATGGTGCCAGAAAGTAAGAACTCGAGAACTGAGCTCACACAGGAACTTAATGGTGATCAAAAACACACACATCAAGCCCGTAACACTCCCTGAAAGAGGAAAACAGAAAAGGGGGCTCAGGGAGACCTGCGGGAGACTGAGGGGCCCCGGCTCAGGGAGACCTGCGGGAGACTGAGGGGCCCCGGCTCAGGGAGACCTGCGGGAGACTGTGGGGCCCCGGCTCAGGGAGACCTGCGGGAGACTGAGGGGCCCCGGCTCAGGGAGACCTGCGGGAGACTGAGGGGCCCCGGCTCAGGGAGACCTGCGGGAGACTGAGGGGCCCCGGCTCAGGGAGATGTCCTGCTCTTCTCTGTGTATAATGATGGTGATGCCATATCTGAAGTTGGCGCTAATAAGCTTATCACTGCTTTGATGGCTGGGATAATAAAATCTAACCAACAATAAAAAGACAGGTAAAGAGAACACACTATGTGAAGAAAGGACAAGCAAGGAAAACAGGGTTCTTACCAATAATGTAAAACATGAGTGTGCAGTATGAGATCTGATCTTCTTACAGCATCTCCACCTTGACATTTTCCCCAGCTGCCACACCAGAGCTGTTATGCCAAGTGGGATCCAATAAACCAAACTTCAGTCAAATTCCAGGGAGACAGAAATAGGATCCTATCAGAAAATAAAATGGAAAAACATCTTGAATGAATCCTCCATTACACCAATACTTGATAAAACCTTCTCAAATTTAAACTAGCTTGTCCCATAGACTCCCCACTAAGCTAAGAAACAAAGGCACTCCCTAAATGTGAAGAATGTAAAAATCTACAGAACACACATCAATATCTACAATAAACCCCCCCACTAAAATAGCATAATACAGTTAGGTATAGACCTCAGGATAAAATTCTATATTGCACTCACAAACACAAATTGATAGTAGGCCTTAAGCTCCTCAAATACAGGACTCTTCTCTCTTCCTTGGAACATATCAATTTTGTGTTTGTGAGTGCAATATAGAATTTTACCCTGAGGTCTATACCTAACTATATTATGCTTTTTTAGTGTTCTTATTGTAGATATTGCTGTGTGTTCTATGTATTATGAAGACTTAGAGGAGTCTTTGATATAAGCACATCGTAAAGAGGAAAGGGTAATTGCTATTGAATATTTCAAACCCCCTCTTTTAGTGTGTTCCTGCAAAAAGTGTGATTCACATTGTTATAAAGGAATAATCTGTCTCACAGTATTTATTTTCTATAGATTAAACTGTGGAGGTTATTTCCCAGTCAGTCA